AAATCTGTCACGAACCATAAAATACAAAAACACATTGTAACCAAAAATAATAAATGGAGACATAAAAACATATACATATATGGAATTACAAATGACAAGAAAAACTACAGATTGGGTTTGAGAACAAACTATTTGACTCACCCTATTTTAACAGTAATACATACGAATTTTTGAACACTAAATACTAATAATCTATACCATCTTTTGTGGTAGCTTTGTCAATACTAAAAGTTAGTTTATAATCATAAACATGAAATGTATGCGGCTGCAATGTTGTCTGTATCTTCCTTTCTGTTCATGGTCTTTTCTCTCCTTTGCATTATTCTGAGGCTCTCCAATGTATATCGGGTTGACTCTCTTTTTTCCTTGTCAATAACTTTTGCGTTTCCGAAATCAGCTGTGTGTCCACTTGTTGTTATATGTTGTGCTAATGCTGTACTGCTTTTTTGTTTTCTGATGTCAGCTTCATGTTCGCCTAATCGAACACCTAAAGGCCGCTTTGTTGTCCCAATATACAGTTTCCCGAATTCTTCATTTTCTTTTCCTTTGCATTTAATTTCATACACTACATCGCTTTGTTGGTGGATATCTACTGGGCACTTTGTTTTTGTGTATATTGTCGAAAGAGTGTGATTGGATTTGTAGGCAAGTGCTGTGTTTTGTGGTTTATTTATGCTGTGACATACAATTGAATAAATTACGAACTGATCGGATAATAAACTATAAAGAATTTTTGTAGTGGTTATGAAGCAAAATGTTGGAATTTTTTTTCATGCTTTTTGAACATATTTTCCACAAAACTAAGTCTTTTTGGCTTTCTGTTTGATCTATAATATGCTTCTCAGTTTCTTCAATAAATTTCATTTGATAAGAAAATAATCGTAATACAAAACTTGCGTTTAACAGCCTAATAATAATTTGCTTCTCATTTCTTATTTACCAATTTTTTCAGTGTTGGTTTTGAAGAGACATTGAAAAGGAAATTATAAAAATATGGAAAAATATATAATTTTGAAATGTTAGTTATGAAAAGTTTTAAGTAAAAAAATTAGATAAATTAAATTAATGATTTGTCCAGTTGCCGTTTAGCAGGCGGCTGTGGATCAACATCATTGCTCTCTCTAATATTTGGTCACCGTCATCATCATCAGAAAGGTCGATAATTTCGTCCAACAGATTTCTGGAATTTCATCTTTGTCTTCCCCTTCCTCTTTTTCCTCGCCTTCCTCTTCTTCAAAGGTGTTTTTATACCACCAACCAATTTCAGATTCAGTTGGCAACTGTTGAGCGAGTTGATCAAGATGCTGATGCAAGAGATGAATTTTGTACGACATATTAACCCCAATTTCATCGAAAGCTGCCAACATGTTTGCAACAGATTGCCTGTAGTTGTCTTTGCGTTATTTACCTAAAAGTCCTTTAATGACTGCTTTCAATGCGAGCCATGCATTTAATTCTCGGTCTGTCAGAACTTGGTCAAAATCTTGACGACTCATTAGTTTCCGTATGTCTCGACCATTAACAACCCCTGCCTTAATTTTGGCGTTACCTAGTCTTGGGAAAATGCCTTTTAAGCGGTTGAATACTGCTGGTCTTTTGCGATACATTTCAACAAATTTTTAGCAATGCCAAGTTTAATGTGGAGCAACGGCACCAAAATTTTCATCTCAGGAACAAGACTTTCGTGTAGCCTATTGTCTTTAGGCCATTTCCGTCCAATGCGACTATTCCAGTTATGCTGTTTGTACTGGTTTCTTCCTTTAATACCTTCTCCGTATCGTGAATCCCAATCGCACAAAAAACACGGATATTTTGGACGGCCAGATGCTGTTAAGCCTTTGAACACCTTTGAAGAAGAGGAAGACGAGGAAAAACAGGAAGAAGAAGAAGACAAAGATGAAATTCCAGAATATCTGTTGGACGAAATTATCGACCTTTCTGATGATGATGACGATGACCAAGATATTAGAGAGAGCAGTGATGTTGATCCACAGTCGCCTGCCAAACGGCAACTGGCCAAATCATTAATTTAATTTATTTAATTTTTTTACTTAAAACTTTTCATAACTAACATTTCAAAATTATATATTTTTCCATATTTTTATAATTTCTTTTTCAATGTTCCTTCAAATCCAACACTGAAAAAATTGGTACATAAGAAATGAGAAGTAAATTAATATTAAGCTGGAAAACGCAAGTTTTGTATTATGATTGTTTTCTTTTCAAATGAAATTTATTGAAGGAATTGAGAAGCATATTATAGATCAAACAGAAAGCAAAAAAGACTTAATTTTGTGGAAAATATGTTCAAAAAGCATGTAAAAAAAAACATTTCCAACATTTTGCTTCGTAAGCACTACAAAAATTTTCTAAATCAATATCAATTAGTCGACGAGTTATAGCCAAAAAACCATATAAACAATATGCTGAAAATCGGCATTTGACTGCAAAGTTCTAAAGTCGATTAAAAAAAAATTCGAACTAACATAAACAAACGCCGCGATATGGGTCTTCTAATTTAGCCTCTATTTTCACCCCTCACTCTCAGAATCGGCCTAACTTTATTCCACAGTGTAATCGTATCAAATTAAAGAGGTTAAAAAACAGACTGTAGGAAATATTTTTGAGGAGGGTTGCCACTTATTTGAAAATTTTGGCTCAGTGAAATTGATAAAATAATTGAAAAATTGCAATGTGGGTAATAAACTTTAGATTTTTAAGAAGGCTTGCAGTCCAAAATATGTAGGAAGAGGGTTGCCCCCCGTTTGAAAATTTAACTCAATTTAATTAACAAAATAAATGACTTATTACAATAAAGGTGTCAAATTAAACAGGTTTAAAAAACATGACTGTTGGAAATATTTTTTAGGAGGGTTGCCACCTATTTGAAAATTTTGAGCTCAGTTAAATTGATTAAATAAATGAAATATTGCAATATGGGTATCCAACTAAAGAGTTTTAAGAAGACTAACAGTCGAAAATATGTTTTAAGAGGTTTGCCACCTGTTTGAAAATATAAATTAAATTGATAAAATAAATGAAATGTTACAATATGGGTACCAAACGAAAGGTATTTGAGGAATCTTGATTTGAAAATACTCTCAATAGAATTATGCAGTAAAAGTAAACTGAAAATATTTGAATTAAATAAAATATTACATAACTGGTTCGAAACGGAAAGCGTTTGGGAAAGCTTTACTGGAGACATTTTTTCTTAATGTTTTTACTTATCCAAATCCGGACAGCTTAAATGAAGAGAGAGCTTACAACATCTTATCAAACAAAGTGATCACATTATCAACGAAGAGTTGGTATAAAAATTACGCACAGAAAAAAATTAATAAAGAACTACTGATACAAATGAAAAAATTATAAAAAGCGTAACGAAGACATAACAAGTAATTTTTAGCAAAAAAAAACCGACTTAAAAAAAATATATATATATCTATATATTTCATGATCCAATGATGGGATCTAAACCATTAGTTTAGTATGGGACCACCTCTGAGACACTACCTTTCCGTTGCAAAAAGAATTATTGAAATCGGTTGACGTGGTGCAAAGTTATGCGGTAACATACATAAAAAAAAAAACAAAAAAAAAATATTCCGACGAACTGATAACCTCCTCCTTTTTTGGAAGTCGGTTAAAAATATCCCATGAAATGAAATAAGGAAAACTTAAAATTGTTACTACCATTCCCTTACATTAACAGTTAAATTTTTATCATGAACAATTTCGTTCGGTCGCCATAGCCTACTAAGTATATTGCGGGTAAATAAATTTTGAATAACATCAGATAATATTATTATGATTATGATTACTATTACTATTGTGAACTCCTGTTATATGCCCAAACAACCATTCCCAAATTAAAGCGAATTCAGAAGTAGAGTTGCAAAACTATCGATGGCTCTATCGATAGTATCGATAGTTTATTTTTTTGGAGACTATCAAAGACCATCGATAGTTTTTTCAAAACTATCAAAAACTATCGATGGTTTTATGTACTATCGATAGTTTTACAACTCCAGCAGAAATGTTGCACATTTCTGTTCCAGATTGTGAATTCAGACCATCAGCTATTGGTAAGTTTTACAGGTTTTTTGTATTTATGTAGATATGTACAAATTGTTTGAATTATACATTTGTAGACTAAATAATTGGCGGTTCCTGTTTGGTTTAAAAATGGATATTGACGATGATAATTCACAAGGTATGTCTGTTGAAAATTATATATATTTCTCGGAGAGCAACGCGTCAAGCAAAAGAACTTATACGATAAAAATTTTAACAGGCTTATTACAATAAGGGTACACTCATCCATTCGCCCAAGTTTCATATTTGGGGAATTGGGCAACTTTGCGCAGTGTGTTTCATGAGGAGAATTTTATATTTTGTGCAATTTCAGATATTTAATTATTTGACAATGCTTAATTAAAATTGTGGAATAATTGAAACTCGAGTTTAAGTAAATATTTAAGTCTAAAGAAAAAGCGTTGAGCACAAATCAAAATGAAAGTAAACAAAATAGTTGATTGAGGATTGCGCAATACACTGCGCAAATTTGCGCCCTTTGCCTTTTTGTGCAAATGGCTTTCCGTAAAAATTTGGACATTTCATTTGCGAGGGATTTAAATTGCACAGTTTTCCCAGTTTGCGAGAGCTTTGCGCTTTTAAATGAGTACCCTTAATATATTATTAAAAATACTTACAGAAATTCTTGTTGGGAAAAAGCGACGAAAGGGCAATTCAAATGTTTGGAAACATTTTAAGCTGCACCCTGACAAAAAGAACGCCAAATGTTTGTCGTGTAAAAAAATTTACAAAACGAGCGGAAACACTACGAACCTCTTGGACATCTTAAGCGGTCGCACCCTTTGCTTATTGAACCCACAAAGTCTGACCCCACACTAGAAGGCTATTTTCCAAAAAAATCCAATTCCACCTATGAAAGCAATTCCTCGCGGAAAGCAGAACTGGATTCAGCTCTCGCAAGAATGATTGCTTCGGATATACAACCGTTTCGTATAGTCGAAGACAAGGGGTTTAGGGAGTTCGTGCAGTGCCTGGACCCACGGTATAAATTGCCATCCCGACCTACTATTCAAAATGTTCATTTGCAGAAAATATTTGATGATTTGGAGAAAAAATTGCAAGCTAACCTTAATAATATCGATAGCTGTGCTATAACTACAGATGGTTGGTCATCAAAGGCGAATGAAAGCTATATCACCGTTACGTGCCATTTCATAGACAGCGAATTTAAATTGCGATCGGTTGTTTTAGGGACATGGAAGCTTGCAAATGAACTGAATCACTCAGCTGAAAATATTTCACAATCACTGCGTGAGTGCCTAAACAAATGGAATATACTTGAAAAAGTTAACTACGTGGTTACAGACAACGCTGCTTCAATGCTTAAGGCTTGCGAACTTCTTGAGAAAAAAAATTTACCCTGTTTTGCACATTCCATCAATCTTGTAGTGCAAGATGCTTTGTCGACGGAAAAGGTCAAAGTAATTCTAACAAAATGCAAACGTATAGTGGCCTACTTTAAAAGCAGCACTATTGCTTATGCAAGATTAAGGAAGGAGCAGGGGGATGGAAAACAGTATAGCCTTATTCAGGAAGTGCCTACAAGGTGGAATAGCGCGTTTGCTATGATGCAACGAATTTTAGTCATCAAAGATGCAATATTTTCAGTACTTTTAAGCACACCAAAAGCACCACAGGTTTTTACAGCAGACGAGGTAGAGCAACTTGAAGATTTGTGTTTATTATTGGGACCATTCAACGCAAATACAAACATTATATCGGGGAACCAATACGTGACGATTTCGCATATAATTCCTATAGTCTGGGGTTTATATTCCACGATGTTGAAGTCGAAATGCAAATTGAAAACAGCTGTGGGATTAGACACATGTACATACTTAGCCGAAAGAATTCACCAGAGGCTTTTTATTTACGAAACCAGAAGTGCTTCAAGGCTGGCTGCCCTATTAGACCCGAGGTTTAAAAAGGAAGGCTTTCGGTCTGCTCAAAATGTATCACAAGCATTCGCTGTACTGAAAATGAATTAGCTGAGGTGAAAAGAATTACTGCGTCGACATTGGAGGGCGACATACAGGAACCGTCAACATCTAAAAGTATGGAAGTACCTGAAATTTACGAATTTATGAAAGAAAAACTTTCCTGCAAAATAAAATCAAATAGAGCCGATTCTATTATCGCTTTACGTGAATATGCGGAAAAGCCCAATGAACCTTTAAATTCAGACCCATTGGAGTACTGGAAGGTTGGTAATACTTCAGATAATGCATTGCCTATATGTATTATTAACAATATGTCTACATTTCAGACTAGAACGTCTGATATGCGACATTTACAAATTTTAGCACTCAGGTACCTCTGCATTCCAGCTACTTCAAGCGAATCGGAACGAATGTTCAGCAAGGCTGGGGCCGTAATATCCGACAGGCGTACTAGACTTAAAGAAAAAAATGTAAACATGCTCCTTTTTATAAACAAAAACTCATGGATGATCTCGTGAATACGTATTGTTAAAGAAGTTCGTTGTTTTCCACTTTTCTGTTAAGTTTTTATACACACCTATGCCCAAAATATTAGAAACACGAAATTTTGACCAGTTTTTACTATTCTCTCGTTAAATTTTTTATATACGGTCATTAATTTTTTATAAATGTATAGCTCGTTATATAACAAAGACCAATAAATCTAAGTTTCAAACTATGTACGAAAATTTGAAAAATTCAAGAAAGCATCAAAATTTCGAACTTTTATAATCAGAATTTTAAGAATAACTTTTGGTAGTCGATTATATTAGTATAATAAAGTGCAAGTTTGAAACCTGCTGAAAATGACTTTGAATATAGGCTTTTTTTTTGCTGACAGTGTCACGCATTTCCTTCCATACAAAGTATGTTCGAAACTGTTTTATATGGGAGAAAGTGCGCAACACCACCAACAAAAAGAAAAAAATTATCAAAAATCTACGCAATTTTTTAGCGACTTCAAACTCGCACTTTGTTATAAAAGTTTGAAATTTTGATGCTTTCTTGAATTTTTCAAATTTTCGTACATAGTTTGAAATTTAGATTTATATGGTCTTTGTTATATAACGAGCTATACATTTATAAAAAATTTATGAACCGTATATAAAAAATTTAACGAAAAGAATAGTAAAAACTGGTCAAAATTTCGTGTTTCTAATATTTTGGGCATAGGTGTACATGTGAATGTGTTTCTGAATGTACATACATACATAAGTACAAAAATAAATATGAATTTATTGGCAGTTAAAAAATTCTTTCTAGGAACCATTTAAATACGATAGTACTATCGATAGTTTATTTTTTTGGAGACTATCGAAGACTATCAATAGTTTTTTTAAACTATCAAAAACTATCGATGGTGCCACTATCGATAGTTTTGCAACTCTATTCAGAAGGGCATTTACGATCGCATGATGCAAGTGTTAAGATAATAAGAGCTGCAGAACTGAACCACTCAGGAACAATTTTTTACAAGGGCGTGTAATTTCTGGCGTATGCCAATGACATCGATATCATCGGTAACAAAAACCTCGAAGTCTGTCCTGCCTTTTCTAAGTTGGATAAAGAAACAAAGCGATTGGGTTTAGTGATCAACGAAGACAAGATGAAGTATCTCCTGTCATCAAACAAAGAGTCAGAGCATTCTCGCCTTGACACCCACATCACTGTTGCCAGTTGTAATATCGAGGAAGTACAGAATATCGTCNTTTCAAACTATGTACGAAAATTTGAAAAATTCAAGAAAGCATCAAAATTTCGAACTTTTATAATCAGAATTTTAAGAATAACTTTTGGTAGTCGATTATATTAGTATAATAAAGTGCAAGTTTGAAACCTGCTGAAAATGACTTTGAATATAGGCTTTTTTTTTGCTGACAGTGTCACGCATTTCCTTCCATACAAAGTATGTTCGAAACTGTTTTATATGGGAGAAAGTGCGCAACACCACCAACAAAAAGAAAAAAATTATCAAAAATCTACGCAATTTTTTAGCGACTTCAAACTCGCACTTTGTTATAAAAGTTTGAAATTTTGATGCTTTCTTGAATTTTTCAAATTTTCGTACATAGTTTGAAATTTAGATTTATATGGTCTTTGTTATATAACGAGCTATACATTTATAAAAAATTTATGAACCGTATATAAAAAATTTAACCAAAAGAATAGTAAAAACTGGTCAAAATTTCGTGTTTCTAATATTTTGGGCATAGGTGTACATGTGAATGTGTTTCTGAATGTACATACATACATAAGTACAAAAATAAATATGAATTTATTGGCAGTTAAAAAATTCTTTCTAGGAACCATTTAAATACGATAGTACTATCGATAGTTTATTTTTTTGGAGACTATCGAAGACTATCAATAGTTTTTTTAAACTATCAAAAACTATCGATGGTGCCACTATCGATAGTTTTGCAACTCTATTCAGAAGGGCATTTACGATCGCATGATGCAAGTGTTAAGATAATAAGAGCTGCAGAACTGAACCACTCAGGAACAATTTTTTACAAGGGCGTGTAATTTCTGGCGTATGCCAATGACATCGATATCATCGGTAACAAAAACCTCGAAGTCTGTCCTGCCTTTTCTAAGTTGGATAAAGAAACAAAGCGATTGGGTTTAGTGATCANGTGATCAACGAAGACAAGACGAAGTATCTCCTGTCATCAAACAAAGAGTCAGAGCATTCCCGCCTTGACACCCACATCACTGTTGCCAGTTGTAATATCGAGGAAGTAGAGAATATCGTTTACTTGGGAACCAGCACTAACACCGATAATAATGTCAGCATGGGAATACAATGGAGAATCACTCTAGCCAACAAGTGCAACTTTGGACTGAATAGGCAATTCGGGAGTAAAGTTCTTTCTCGACGTACAAAAACCACACTCTATAAGTCACTCATCATGCCCGGGCTGATAAATGGTGCAGAAGCTTAGACAATGATAACATTCGATGAGACGGCTCTTGGAGTATTGGAGAGAAAGATTTTGCGGAAGANAGAATATCGTTTACTTGGGAACCAGCACTAACACCGATAATAATGTCAGCATGGGAATACAATGGAGAATCACTCTAGCCAACAAGTGCAACTTTGGACTGAATAGGCAATTCGGGAGTAAAGTTCTTTCTCGACGTACAAAAACCACACTCTATAAGTCACTCATCATGCCCGAGCTGATAAATGGTTCAGAAGCTTAGACAATGACAACATTTGATGAGACGGCTCTTGGAGTATTGGAGAGAAAGATTTTGCGGAAGATTTACAGGCCTCTGAGCGTTGGAGACGGGAGTACCGCAGACGATGCTACGATGAGTTGTATGAGCTTTACAACGAAATGGACATACTAGGGCTATTCGCGATCCGGTGCAAATGGCCTAGCATCATTGCATTGCAAATTTGTATTGCAAATTATTTGCAATACACAAACAAAATACACGCATTTGCATTTGTCATTGCTTGGCAAATTTGCAATACCGAAAATCCATAGCATAAA